AGTAACGGACGCGGAACGATCTGGATGCTTCTTACCACGTGATCGTCTAGCGACGCTTTACTTTTGAAAACTGCTTCGCAGTGCATGCATCTGATGAACAAGTCGGATGCTGTTATAGGGTGTACATTCATCATGTGTTTTTCCAGTCTACCTTTAGCAGTTGATTTGAATGGACAATTGAACATTCGTGTAGTTTGCTTACAATTGACCCGCAACAATCCGGATGCTTTTTTACTATATGCTCATCTAGCGATTGCTGACTTTTGAAGATTTTGATACAATACGTGCACGGGATAGACAAGACAGATGCCGATTTCAGGTGTACATTCGTCATGTGTTTCTCCAGCTTGCCTTTCCATATTGTTTTTAACGGACAAATGGTGCATTCGTAAATTTTTCGGTTGACACTTGACATGAAAGTCGGATGTATTTTAACTATATGATCGTCCAGAGATTCCGGTTTTTTAAACGTAGAACTGCAATGCGCGCACACGTTCCGATTTCCTTTTGAACCGGGATGTACTCCTGAAATGTGTCTACGTATTTTGTACTTTGAGATACTCTTAAAATCGCATTTCGGGCATTGAATTATTTTACGCGAACTGAAGCTATAAAATCTGGGTGTTTTTTTATGATATGATCATCTAGAGATTCCGCTTTTACAAAAGAGGCATTGCAATATTCGCACATGATTAAATCGGCACTTTCGATAGATTCGCATTTATCTTCATTCAAATGACTCATTAAGTCAGCAGTACAGTTTGCCACATAGTTACATTTGTAACAAACGAATAATTCCCTTACTGCATCTGCATCCACTACGCCCAGTCCTTTTCCTTGCATTTCCTCATTCTCTCGCTGAAAAAGAATTACAATAATTACACCTCGGCTCCTTCAAAAGTCACATTACTATCTTCAAGGCAACAAAAAATTTCATTCAAAGGGCACTACTAGAACAAGTACTTCTCGATTTTAATTTGGCGCCATTTTGCAGGGACTTGCGACATTTTAAATTGCGATTGTGGCATTTCCACTGCCGGGCAGACAACATTTTGCTAAAATTAAATTTTAAATAACTTTTTAACCTTTGCATCAATTACGTTATTTTTTTCGTTATACAGGGTGTAACTAAAAGATGCATTTTGCCCTAAACTTCCGAACACCCTGTGAAAACATTTGATTACTGAATAATGTGTCTTCGTATGAGAATTTAAAGCCTCAACTTTTCTCAAGAGTTCCTTTTATGATTCATGTCAATATCTCAATTATTGAAGAATATATGCAATTCATAGCCATAAACAAGAAATTTTTTCAAGCAGGCTTGGCCGGGTAAGAAATTGTTTGAAGTAGGTTGTGTCTGTTAGCATTTGTAGCTTTACGACTCCTCATGGACTACGATCCGGATGAGAGGCCTCGCAACCACAGAGCTAAGTACCCTAGACCCACGTCACAGTTGGCAGGCGCTACTCGAGGTTGCCCCGCCCCGCGCCCCGCCCCGCCCCGCGCTCCGCCCCGCCCCCCACGACGTGGAATGAAAGCAGAGGACGAGGACCAGGACGACCAGGACCCATCAGGCCCAGGACCAGCACCCATCAGGACCAGGTAACAAACAAGTAGAGGACTTGAAACTCTTGATTTTTCGAAAACAAAAGTTTCAAGAGAACATAGCAAACCCTCTATCGATGCTCGCTTAAAGACATCGATAGAACTGTGCGAGGTAGAGGGAACCAACCCGGCGTTCCCAGAGACTGAAACACGTGAGGAGACGTTGTAGCAGACCGCAGGTCACTCACAACACACGGCCTTACCGAGACGCTGTTGAGTCGGGCCACGCAGAGGTTAGGGTTTAATGGGTATTAGGTGGTCTCCTCACGACAACCTGGAGTCCCACACATGCCGTAGCTCGGGCTATGGTATGGTGCATAAACGCATTCACCCCTCACAAAAAAAGATGGAGGCAGAGATTACTGAATACGGTAGAGTAGCAGAGCGGAGTGGAGTCTAGTGCAGTCAGTGGCGACGTAAGAATTAGTCAGACATAAATAGTGGTGTATACTCGTATAAATGTTCTATCAAGTCAAATAAATTAGTACATTTCTTTTTGTGAAATCCAGTGTTTTAATCCACACCCAGAAAAACATTACAATTCGTGGGTTTTTACCTCAAGGCAACAAAAAATTTGAATTAAAGGGCACTACTAGAACAAGTACTTCTCGATTTTAATTTGGTGCCATTTTGCAGGCACCTAAGACATTTTAAATTGCGAATGTGGCATTTCCACTGCCGGGCAGACAAAAAATTTTTAAAATTAAATTTTAAATAACTTTTTAACCTTTTCATCAATTTCGTTAATTTTTTCGTCAAGTTGCAGGTAATTTCATCGACATCATTATCGATTGCCGATCCTGCAAAAAAACTGAAAATGTTTGTTGTTATACAGGGTGTAACTAAAAGGTGCATTTTGCCCTAGATTTCCGAACACCCTGTGGAAACACTGGATTACTGAATTATATGTCTTCGTATGAGAATTTAAAGTCTCAACTTTTCCCAACAGTTCTTTTTATGATTCATGTCAATATCTCAATTATTGAAGAAGATATGCTGTTTTGAAGAAAATCATGCAAATGGTCGTCCTGTTCAGTATATCGCAGAAAGGCTTGCCGTTCCACGCAGTACGTAAATATTTAGAGAAACTGATGGAGGAGTAATGGTATGGGGCGGTATTTCTTTGGAATCCCGCACAGATCTTGTTTCGCTGCGAGGACTGTTTGGAAGAACATGGGGTTCCTCATATGCCCTTTATAGAAGAAAATTTGTTCCTAATGCAAGATTATGCTAGTACGCATATAGCCAGAATGACTAAACAATACCTCAAGTATTAGACTGGCCGTCAAGGAGTCCGGATCTCAACCCCATTGAACACATGTGGGATACATTAGGAAGAAGGCTTAGGCAGAACTATGAAGAAGAACAGGGGCTGGTAAACGATTGGGAGCAAATCCCCAAGACACGATAACTGGTTTAATTGAATCTATGCCAGAGAGAATGAGAGCTGTTATTCAAAGTCTGGGAGGAAATACTCGTTTTTGATAAAAAATTTTAATAAAACTGTTATTTAAGTTTAAATGTATATGGTCATGATTCGCATAGTTTTCTTACCAATGTTGCCACTGTAATTTTTTAAATTAAATTGTGTATGACTATGATTCGGACGATTTTTTTCAAAACAGCAATAACTGAGATATTGACATGGATCAAAAAAGAACTGTTGGGAAATGTTGAGGCTTTACATTCTCACACGAAGACACATCATTTAGTAGTCCAATGTTTTCACAGGGTGTTCAGAAATTTAGGGCAAAATGCACCTTTTAAGGTTAAAAAGTTATTTAAAATACCCGGGAATTTAATTGCGGGTAATTTTATGATGCACAGTGGAAGGCTTCTGAATTGTGTAAGCGTAAAAAACTTCGTAAAATACTATGGTGAGGCGGCGAACGATAACACAAATATGTAGCTTTACCGACGCCAGTATTTCAATCGTGGTTATACAGGGTGTTTCAAAGTTAAGTATTTTAACTGCTTGTAGGACTCGCCAAAAATCACCTAAAAAGTTACTTAATAAAAGAATTAGTAGAAAATTAAAAATTTTGAAAGATAATGTTATTACACAGATTTTTTGATATTCTCGACCACTGCCGTGTAAAATCTTAGCGGCTCTTTGTTTACTACTCTTATCGTTTATCTAAACTTTTTTGTGCTATTGTATAGTTTTCAGTACGAGTCTCTCGACCAGTTGTAACGGGTGTTTTTTTTCGAGGTACAGAACTTTAAGTTAGCATTACTCTTGAAGATGGCGACCGATTTGACAGCTGTCAAGTGATTTATTCTCAGTTTGGTTTGGCGATTCATCATGAATAGACTCACGCCTGAACAACGTTTGCAAATTGTGCAGTTTTATTTCGAAAATAATGGTTCTGTGCGGAATAAGTATCGCGCAAAATCCAACTCGTGCAAGAATTGAAGCCAAACGATCATCAAGCAAGGCGCAGATTCGTTGAATGGGCCCAAAACGAGATTGCCGTTGTTTGTTATGTGTGTTGTGTGTGTGAGAGGGCGTTAGTGAACTTGATGTTTACAGTTCCACAAGGTGTTTTTTTTACTGTTGGATGAGTTATATTTTTGCCTGTTTCCTACCACAGTTTTTTGTACGATTTTTACCTGTCTGTTACTCGGAATTATCTGTTCAGGCAGTGTATGGGTTATAAAATAAAAAGAATGAAAATAAAAATCTGGCTAAGTACGGAAGCCTTGAATATAACTACCGAGCGAAAGAAAGCAGTACGTCAGCTTTTAAGGGAGTTGTCCTGAGGTCCTAGAGATGAAGCAGGGGTCCCCCAGGGTTCCGTTACAGGTCCCACGCTTTTTATAATATTCATAAATGATCTGGCCCTCTGCAACAGAGCATTGCTCTGTATGGAGACGAAACTGCTGATCATTGAAACACAGTAGATAACGTACAAGTAAAAATTTGGTTTCCTGAGCGTACTTTGCTTGTAACTAGCGTTTGTTTGTTTTTGACTGCTTCATCCTGCTGCTGCTTTTGGGTGTGCACTTCATCGCATGCCTTCCCAGCATGCTTTTGACTACTGATTTAAACGGACAATTCGGACATTCGAATATTTTTCTTGCAACAGAATCGGAACAGTCTGGATGCTTCTGTAGTACATGCTCATCCAGAGCTACTTTCCTTTTGAAAAGTTTATCGCAATGTACACACGTGACGAACAAGCTGGATGCAGCTTTAGGGTGCGCACCCATCATATGCCTTTCCAACGTACGTTTACTTATCGTTTTAAATTCACATATTGGTACATTCGTGTATTTTCCTTTTAACAGACGATATGAACGTGGGATGTATTCTGACTATATGATCGTCCAACGATTCTTGCTTTTTGAAAGTAGATTTACAATGAGCGCATGCGTGCAGAAGTGAGTTTGAATCAGGATGATATGATCTCGTATGCCCATTTATTTTATACTTTATATGCTTTTTAGACTGTCTTCGGTGCTAATACAACGTTGCAATTCGGCATTTTTTCGAGGGCAGAAAATAATATGTGCAACTTGGATCGCCCATCTGTGTACAATCTATCTAGTCTAGTCAAATGTAGAAATATGTATGTAGCTTGTTTTATGTAACTATTGATTGTCGTTTTAGATAATAATATTTCATTTTATTTGCCTATTCCGCGAAAAAATTTATTGTTATTTTCGCCACTTTTTGTTATGTGTAATGTGTGTGTGTGAGGGCGTTAGTGAACTTGATGTTTACAGTTCCACAAGGTGTCTTTTTTACTGTTGGATGAGATATTTTTGCCTGTTTCCTACCACAGGTTTTTGTACGATTTTTTCCTGTCAATCGGAATTATCTGTTCAGGCAGTGTATGGGTTATAAAATAGAAAGAATGAAAATAAAAATCTGGCAAAGTACGGAAGCCTTGAATATAACTACCGAGTGAAAGAAAGCAGTACGTCAGCTTTTAAGGGAGTTGTCCTGAGGTCCTAGAGATGAAGCAGGGGTCCCCCAGGGTTCCGTTACAGGTCCCACGCTTTTTAGAATATTCATAAATGATCTGGCCCTCTGCAACAGAGCATTGGAGACGAAACTGCTGATCATTGAAACACTTTAGATAATGTACAAGTAAAAATTTGGTTTCCTGTGCGTACTTTGCTTGTAACTAGCGTTTGTTTGTTTTTGACTGCTTCATCCTGCTGCTGCTTTTGGGTGTGCACTTCATCGTATGCCTTCCGAGCATGCTTTTGACTACTGTTTTAAACGGACAATTCGGACATTCGAATATTTTTCTTGCAACAGAATCGGAACAGTCTGGATGCTTCTGTAGTAGATGCTCATCCAGAGCTACTTTCCTTTTGAAAAGTTTATCGCAATGTACACACGAGACGAACAAGCTGGATGCTGCTTTAGGGTGTGTACCCATCATATGCCTTTCCAACGTACGTTTACTTATCGTTTTATATTCACATTTGGTACATTCGTGTATTTTCCTTTTAACAGACGATACGAACGTGGGATGTACTCTGACGATATGATCGTCCAACGATTCTCGCTTTTTAAAAGTAGATTTACAATGAGCGCATGTGTGCAGAAGTGAGTTTGAATCAGGATGATATGATCTCGTATGTCCATCTATTTTATACTTTATGACGGTCTTGAACGGGCATTTTGGACATTGATGTATTTTGCGTGAAACTGATGCTATGAAATCTGGATGCTTTCTCACTATATGATCATCTAGCATATCCTTAGTTTTGAACACGCTGTCGCAATGCATGCACGATATGAATAAGTTAGATGCTGTATTGGGGTGATGAACCATCCGATGTCTTTGCAGTTTATCTCTAGCGATTGTTTGAAATTGACAAATTGGACATTCGAATATTTTTCTTGTTATAGACCAAAAACGATCCGGATGCTTCTTTAATATATGCTCGTCCAGCGACTGTTTATTTTTGAAAACTTTGTCGCAAGACGAGCACGGATTGATCAAATTACCGACTAGTAAATTCAGGTGTGTCTTCATCATATGTTTTTCCAGCTTTCCTTTCCATACCGTTTTTAATGGACATCTGGTACATTCATAAATTTTTCTTTTAACCGACGATATGAAAGTTGGATGTATTTTAACTATATGATCGTCCAGCGATTCCGCTTTTTTAAAAGTAGATTTACAATGTGTGCACACGTAGAACGAGCTGTTTGTATCAGAATGTACTCTTCTCATATGACTAGGTATTTTGTACTTAGAGACACTCTTAAAAGTGCAATTTGGGCATTCATATATCTTACGCGAAACCGACGTTACAAAATCTGGGTGTTTTCTTATTATATGATCATCTAGAGATTCTGATTTTACGAAAGAGGCTTTGCAATGTACACAAATATTAAGCACATCAGCACTCTTATTAGACCCATATTTTTCTTCACCCAAGTGCCTTATCAATTCCGCTCTACAGTTAGTCTCATAGTTACATGTGTAACAAATGAATAATTCCCTCACTGCCTCTCCGTGCATTACTTCTAGTCCTTTTTCCTTGCATTTTCCCATTCTATCACTGAAAAAGAATTACAATAATTACACCTCTGCTGCGTCAAAAGTAACATTACTGTCTTCGACAAAGGCTACAAAAAATTAAATTCAAAGGGTACTACTTGAACAAGTACTCGTTGATTTCAATTTGACACCAATCTGCAAGGATTCGAGACATTTTTTACTGCGAATGTAACATCTTGATTGAGTGGTAATTTTATGACGTACGGTGGAACGCTTCTGAATTGTGTACGCGTAACAGACTCCAGTTTATATTTTTTTTCATAAAAATTACTATGATGAAGCAGCGACAGTCACCACAAATATGTACTTCATGCATATTTTAGAGAGAAGGTGATTCCTTGTTAAAACATATAAAAAAGTTTTTAGAAACATGACTGTGTCCGGAAATGCAGTTTTTAAAAAAACTTTTTAGAGAAATTCCGCAAAGAACATTATCATTTTCTAGAAGAACTAACGTGCAAATGTCAAACCTCCATGCATTTTGATTATCAAGGCACTTGTGATTTTTTTAGTAAAAATTAATAAACCAATTTTAACATGCAATAAAACGGTTTTTATTTTGTAAGTTGTATTTTTATGTGCTTAATCAAACAACCAAAAATATCAAAGTTACAAAAAAGGCAGTGGTCCTAATAATTTTAATGTTTAGGGCTAAATTGTCTCATCTTAATACAACAAATAATATTGCCAAATTTCAACAGAAGCGAGTAAGTATTTTTTAAGATAATAAAAAACGTTTAATTTATCACCCCGGTATTTTTTAACTGTTGGATGAGTTATTCTTTTGTCTGTTTCCTATCACACACTATCTACAGTTTTTTTATACGATTTTTTTCCTGTCTGTTAATCCGAGTTATCTGTTCAGGCAGCAAAATAAAAATCGGCTTTGAGGAAGCCTTGAAGGAAGCCAGAACATCAGCTCGCAAAGTAATTGTCTAGATGTGAAGCAGGGGGTCCCTCAAGGTTCCGTTAGAGGTCCCACACTTTTTATAATATTCATAAATGATCTGGCCCTCTGTAACCCTCCGAGTATTATCCTGTGTGCAGATGATACCACCACACTAGAGAGTGGTAACACTGCCGATGATTCGAGCACTGTAGATAATGATGTACAAGTAAAAGTTTGATTGTGCAAGCCTTGAATATGATTCAGTGAAAAAAACCAGAACATCAGCTCACACGGGAATCGTTCTAAGATTTTAGCGATGAAGCAGGGGGTCCCCCAAGGTTCCGTTACAGGTCCCACGCTTTTTATAATATCCATAAATGACCTGGCCCTCTGTAACTGTCAGAATCTTGTCCTGTATGAAGATGATACCACTACACTAGAGAGTGGTAATACTGCTGATGATTCGCGCACTTAGATAATGATGTACAAGTAAAAGGTTGATTGTGGAAGCCTTGAATATAATTCAGTGAACCAGAACATCAGCTCACACGGGAATCGTTCTAAGATTCTAGAGATGAAGCAGGGGGTTCCCCAAGGTTCCGTTACAGGTCCCACGCTTTTTATAATATTCATAAATGACCTGGCCCTCTGTAACTGTCAGAGTCTTGTCCTGTGTGCAGGTGATACCACTACACTAGAGAGTGGTAACACTGCCGATGATTCGAGCACTGTAGATAATGATGTACAAGTAAAAGTTTGATTGTGGAAGCCTTGAATATAATTCAGTGAAAGAAACCAGAACATCAGCTCACACGGGAATTGTTCTAAGACACTAGACATGAAGCAGGGGGTCCCCCAAGGTTCCGTTACAGGTCCCACGCTTTTTATAATATTCATAAATGACCTGGCCCTCTGTAACTCTCAGAGTATTGTCCTGCATGAAGATAATACCACTACACTAGAGAGTGGTAATACTGCTGATGATTCGAGCACTGTAGATAATGATGTACAAGTAAAAGTTTGATTGTGGAAGCCTTGAATATAATTCAGTGAAAGAAACCAGAACATCAGCTCACATGGGAATCGTTCTAAGATTCTAGAGATGAAGCAAGGGTCCCCCAAGGTTCCGTTACAGGTCCCACGCTTTTTATAATATTAATAAATGACCTGGCCCTCTGTAACTCTCAGAGTATTGTCCTGTATGAAGATGATACCACTACTCTAGAGAGTGGTAATACTGCTGATGATTCGAGCACTGTAGATAATGATGTACCAGTAAAAGTTTGATTGTGTAAGCCTTGAATATAGTTCAGTGAAAGAAACCAGAACATCAGCTCACACGGGAATCGTTCTAAGATTCTAGCGATGAAGCAGGGGTCCCCCAAGGTTCCATTACAGGTCCCACGCTTTTTATAATATTAATAAATGACCTGGCCCTCTGTAACTCTCAGAGTATTGTCCTGTATGAAGATGATACCACTACTCTAGAGAGTGGTAACACTGCCGATGATTCGAGCACTGTAGATAATGATGTACAAGTAAAGGTTTGATTGTGGAAGCCTTGAATATAATTCAGTGAAAGAAACCAGAACATCAGCTCACACGGGAATCGTTCTAAGATTCTAGCGATGAAGCAGGGGTCCCCCAAGGTTCCGTTACAGGTCCCACGCTTTTTATAATATTCATAAATGACCTGGCCCTCTGTAACTGTCAGAGTCTTGTCCTGTGTGCAGATGATACCACTACACTAGAGAGTGGTAACACTGCCGATGATTCGAGCACTGTAGATAATGATGTACAAGTAAAAGTTTGATTGTGGAAGCCTTGAATATGTTCAGTGAAAGAAATCAGAACATCAGCTCACACGGGAATCCTAAGATTCTAGCGAAGAAGCAGGGGGTCCCCCAAGGTTCCGTTACAGGTCTCACGCTTTTTATAATATTCATAAATGACCTGGCCCTCTGTAACTGTCAGAGTCTTGTCCTGTGTGCAGATGATACCACTACACTAGAGAGTGGTAACACTGCTGATGATTCGCGCACTGTAGATAATGATGTATACTTTATCTGGTCACTTGAAACACTGTGAAATACCGGGTGCATTTTATATATCTATATTTAACACGCTCTGTTGCTGCAAAAATCGCCAAATTTCGCAGCAAATATCCCCCGTATAAGATCAAAGGCAGTTTCACCGGTCCACGTGGAGTAAAGCACGCCTATGGACATAGCCAATGAGAAAGCGTGTATTTTAGAGCTCCGAACAAGTGCAGGTGGCTACTGAAAATTGAAACAGTTTAGCCAGTGCCGTGTAGCGGTGAATAAACGTGTTTTCTTTAGTCTGTCCGTGTTTTTTCATAGATTTTATTAGTTTGTGTGTTTTTGACTTTTGAATACCCAGTTTACTTGTTGATTTAATTGTTGTGTTGATTGTTCTTATGTGTCCTAAATATGGCTCTTTGGAGACCTTGGGAAAATGCTCCAAGCCACGAGGAGATGGTTGATGAACCTGTGCAGGCAGAATTCTTTCATAAAGATTTAGAGGAACAGACCCAAAGAAAATCCTAAATATGTATGATTGTCTGAAAAACGAAAATCCAGATCCCTCGCAAAATCAAATTTTAAACAGAATTTGTATCCTGACAAAAATCAGTCGGTCTACCATTTATCGGGTTATAAAAAGGGGAGATGTAGTCAACCATTCCTTCCACAGAAAGCGCATAGGGCAAAAATTAAAAAGAATAGACGTGGGTTTTCAGGAAGATATTCGTCGTATAATATACGGATTTTATAAAGAAAATTTGGTGCCCACGTTGGAAATGATACGGGATAAATTAAAAGATTATCCTGAAGATTTTTATAATTACAAATGCTTAGACTCACTGCACTGTATTGTAAAACTGTGTGGTTTTCAATACAAAAAATTAGATAAAAGAATGGTGATTATGGAGTCGTCTCGAATCGTTGAATTGCGCCAAGAATTTTTGCACAGTTGCAAGTTAAAATCTATAGAGAGCAGAAAAGAAATCTGATTTTATTGGATGAAACGTGGTATGATACCCATGATGTGCAGTACGGCTGGGTTGACGACAGCAACAAGTGCATTTTAAATGCACCATGCAACCGTGGAAAACGAATCATTATTCTCCATGCTGGCAGTGAAAATGGATTTATACCTAATGCCTTGCTGTTATCTGCCAAAAATATCAAAGAATCATGTGCCAACTATCATGAGGACATGACCTCCGACTTATTTGAAAAGTGGATAGAGCAGTAGTTAATACCAAACATTTCCCCAAATTCAGTGATTATTATGGACAATGCGCCATACCATTCCCGACAGAAAAACAAAATTCCGAATACAGGCACAAAAAACAAGACATTATTGATTTTATGAAGGATAAGGGAATGGAAATACCACAAAAATCAACCAAAGCCATATTATTGGATCTTATTAAAAGACAAAAATTTGAAAAAGAGTATGTTGTTGACAATCTGCTTCAGCACAATGGCCATGAAGTATTACGTCTACCTCCCTATTACTGCATTTTTAACCCGATTGAGTTGGTCTGGGCTGCTTTAAAAAAAAGTAAGAAAACATATAATCAGACTCCCAATTAAGTGAATCGCTATTGGCCACAATAAGAGATGCAGTTTCTCATATTGCTGCCACAGACCAATGGAAGCAGTGTTCTAGGCATATTATTGAAAAAGAAAATGAATATTGTGTTTTGCCTCCTGTAAATCCCGTTGTAATTCCTCTACAAGACGACTCTAGCGACAGCTCCGAAGGCGAGGATGATATATAAATACCTATAATGTAAGTCTTTATATACCTTTTTATATACCTACCAGCTATGTAAATATTTACCTATGTCAAACGTTGGAATTCTGTAATTTTTCCATTTCTTAACTTTCACTCAACATAAATTAAACTCCCAATATAAGTATTTTTTATCCCAAATCAAAAAAATAAGAAGATAGTAAAATCCATTTATTGTGATATAAAAAACATTATTATTATCGTTCTAAATAAATGACCGCACGCCTATGATACGTCATGAAATTACAAAGGACGCGCCGACCAAAGGTTTTTATGCTATTTCAAGTGAC